GGTGGTGGTGGTGGGCTCTTCCAGGCATTTTTGTAGTCAGTGGTGCTCCACCATTTTCCTCGATATTAAATGGGTGAAGCTCTGCGCTGTTCAAAGCATAGCTGTGAAACACAAGTGTGGGTCCAATGAGGGAATTAAAAAGGGATAACTATATTTGAGATGAAAAAACCAGCCTGCATATGTACTGCATTCATATCCTGCACTTTCTCTGAGTTCACTTTCTCCAGAACAGCACAATGAGCGCTTAAATTAGTGACCCCTGAAATGTGGCATCACATCCCCAAATGGATGTATATAGACCTCTATAATAATAAACAAACACCCTGGGAGATGTGCGCCTTACTCTAAATTTCACTTACTTCCAGACATGTCCATCAGGTAGATCACGATCTACCGGTAGATCACTGGACATCTGTGGTAGATCACAGGCTCCCCCCAAGGAAGCTCAACAACTTTGGCCCCCCTAAAAAAGCTAAACATCTTTGCCCTGCAGCCCCCCCAAAACAGGGCTTTCCTCCTCCCTAAAAAAGATCAACAACTTTTACCTGAACCCCTGAAAAGGGGGTAGATCACTGCCAGTTTTTAACTCTGTGAGTAGACTGCAGTCTCTTGGGAGCTGGCCTCCCTAGTAGCTTCAAGCCTCGTCCTTAAAGAGATGATGGACATTTGTGTAGTCTGCACCCCTTCAGAGCGCAAATGGTGGTCCAATGACTTAATGTGCCTCCATGCAAAAAATAAAATAAATCCCTGCAAGCTAGTATTCTCAGAAGAGGGGTTCTAGCATGGTAATTTTCTACGTGTGGGAATCTCAGTAGATTGCAGTTGTTTGTTCTGGTGAACCTCCAGTGCAAGATTTTGGATTCATGTGTTTATTTGATATTAGTCCTCTTGAGTACATATCTTTAGCTACTGTGGGCTGATTACTCCCCTAACATTTTATATTAAACTGTGTGAGACCCACTTAGGTTTTAAACTGAACAGGATAGTTTAAAAGCTCAATATTTTTTTTGGGGGGGGGGGAGCAAGGGTTGGAGGCCCAGCACCACTGACGCTACCCCTGACTCATTCTTACCCACAGAGGCTTTGGTTATGCCAGTCACACAATCTCCTGTTAAGGTGGCTCAGTCAAAATCACTGGCAAAAATGAGGGACAAAGGAGCTGTCCACAGTTACAGCTGTTCTGTGGGATTCACCGAAGGAAAAGCTGTTCCCAACCCAGAATTCAACACAAACCACCATAAAATAGGAAGGAGCAGTCAGTGGGGTACCGTGGGTAGCCAGCACCTAGGCAAGGAAAGCATGGCGCCCTCTAAGCACTGCCACTGACGCCAGATGGAGCTGCCGAGCAGCAGTGAGACATATGTGCACACCACCTCAGCTGGAGCACCTCCATCACTGCAAGTCTCGCCACCCGCCTGCCTCTCCTGCCAGCTGGGGATGCTGTGCAGCCAAGGGATGCCAGGGCCTGTCCTCTCCCAACTACTGCTCAGTGTGCCACTCCGGTGAGGCAGGTGGGCTGGGTATGGAGTACCTCCGGTCAGGGCAGCAGCTGCAGAGGAGGACCCCTAAAAATTTTGTGCTCAGGGCAATTGGCCCAGGAACCCACCCCCCATGCTACACCTCTGAGCAGAGTACATATTTATTTAAGCTCATTTTGGTCTGATTTCAGACCTAGCTTTGCCTTAAAGGTAAGGGACCCCTGACAGTTAAGTCCAATCGTGAACGACTCTGGGGTTGCGGCGCTCATCTCGCTTTACTGGCCAAGGAAGCTGACGTTTGTCCACAGTTTTTCTGGTTCACGTGTCCAGCATGACTAAGCCGCTTCTGGCTAAACCAGAGCAGTGCACAGAAACACCATTTACCTTCCCGCTGCAGTGGTACCTATTTATCTACTTGCACTTTGACGTGCTTTCGAACTGCTAGGTTGGCAGGAGCAGGGACCGAGCAACGGGAGCTCACCCCGTGGCGGGGATTCGAACCACCGACCTTCCGATCGGCAAGCCCAAGAGGCTCAGTGGTTTAGACCACAGTGTCACCCACGTCACTTGCCTTAGTTGTGGGCAATGACTTTGTTCAGGAGAGAGCAAGGGAGGGATGTACATCGTCCTGAATATTACTCTGGCATCTGATACTAGCAACCACTGTACCCTTCTGAACTGCCTTGTGGGAGACATTCTATCAACAGGAGCCACTCTTTTCAGGTAGGTGTCAAGAGGCGGTGCCAGTTCTTTCCCCTGGGATGCTGCAAGCTTCCCATTCTGTCTCCCATGTCTTTTGACGTGAAGCCCAAGAGTAGAGATGAGCTTTTTGTAAGGTGTTTTCCTGAGCAAATAGATGAATTTTTTCACCCCCACCACTAGAAAAAGGAAGCCACTCTCCCCAAATGTCCTAGAAATATCTGCAACTTTGTGGGGGTTGCAAAATGGGAGCCATACAATTGCTGTTCTTCTTTCTTCTGGAGACAGGGAAATTTTAAGGGGAGGAGGGGAAGCAGCTGTGTTGCTGTGCCACTAATGGTGAATCCCACCAAGGAAAAACTGCTGGAGAATCTCTCTTCCCGCTGAAGAAATTAACTGAAATCATCCTCTGATTGGAGGGGCAATTTGTGCACTGCTTTTGTTTTTTTTTAATGGGCAGGAGGGCAGTATCGCCACTTTGTAGATGATACACACTTGTTTCTCTCCCCTTTCCCACATTCCACTTGTAACCAGAGAAATAACTCCAACAGTTCTTTGTTTTTGTTTCTCTCTTCACGCCCATGGCTAAGGGCCACACGACATAGACATATCCCTTTGTCTTCTCCTTTTCTTCATTCACAAAATAATGGACCAACCAGCAGCCATTAATTCTGACAGCTACCTAGTTCCTCACCCAATCAGAGGCACCGTAGTAGAAAGGTTATGAAACAGCGCCCCCTAGCAAGGACTATGCAGGTACTGCAGCTATCCAGGCAAGCTCAGCTGAGATTTGCAGAGGAACCTTGCCGAGCGCCAGGGAAAGTGCGGACGAACTTTGCTATTCGGTATCCAGCTCGAGTTTTAGTCTCTTTTTAGTAGGAATCTTTAGAAATTCATATAAAATCCCTCCTGTGGTGGATTTTCATCATTCCAGCGTTGTTTTACTAAGGGGAAAGATGGCTATCAGAGGAGGGGCTGAAGATGAGGCCTAGGTCGGCCATAATCCCTGAAGTGTGTGATCACCTGCTCAGCAACCACACTGCATAGGCGAGAAGTCTCAGCATCCTGTCTCCGGAGTGCCAGACGCAAAACCATTCAGAAAACAATGTCCACTCAGCCTCAGTGTATTGGAGTACTGGTCGAGGCAAAGGGGGTTATTTGACTCGACATGGGGAGTAGGAGATCGTGAATATTTTCCTTTGTCTTAACAAGTACAGTGGTACCTCGGGTTACAAATGCTTTGGGTTACAAACACATCGGGTTACAAACTCCACTAACCCAGAAGTAGTACCTCGGGTTGAGAACTTTTCTCCAGGGTGAGAATGGAAATTGCGTGGCAGCAGCGCACTGCCAGCGGGAGGCCCCATTAGCGAAAGTGCGCCTCAGGTTAAGAACAGTTTCAGGTTAAGAACGGACCTCCAGAACGAATCAAGTTCGTAACCCGAGGTACCACTGTAACAGGAATGTTGAGTATTTCTGATTGACATGGCATCAGTTTTCAGCCTGGATGCCACTCCTATTTTATGACATGCTTATGACATATATATAACTTTTCTAACAAGTTGTTATGGATAATCTAGGGAAACTTTTAAAAAAGAGGAGCACCCATTGTTTGGGGCTTCTCTCTGCTTTTTCAATGTTGAAGTTTGAAGTCTTGTTGCAACAATAAAGATCAGGCCTCCTGGCCGTTGTTTTGCTTCTATTTCTTGACCATCCAACCTGAGCCTGCAGAACTCACTGCTGCACACTAAGGAGATGGAGGCTCTAATAAGAAGTCTGAATAATGACTTGGGAGGATATTAAAACAGCTGTTTTTAATTATGTTATTTATTTAAATTTCTGTTCAACCTTTTAAAAACTAATATTCAAGGTAAAAAGGTTATTATTCCATTCAGCCACTAAGGAAAAAAGAGGATGTGAGTACTTTTGAGTGCTATTTAGCAGTTTGATTGTTCTGCTTAAAACTTGCAGATGAACAGCAAATGTGGGTTGGTATACCTTTTATGTTGTTCCAGACTTTCTATAACCATTTTTCATTGCTCATTTCAATAAGCTCTGCATAAAGGTTTTTCTCCAGATTCTCAAAGTAGGTAGCTAACTTTTACTATTAAATGTTCAATTGTGTATTGAATACGGAATATATTCTATCTATGGTTGAGTAGGTTTTCACTGTGCCATAAGTTCCAAGGAGACGTCTTGGAGGGGCTGTTTGGATCAGGCTGCACTGATTTTTGGTTTCTTAGAATCTTGAGCGGTTCCAGGTACAAGGCTGCTAGTAAATTATGTAAGGAAGGTTTATACAATATAATAATTTTATAGATGAAGTCTTGGCAGGGGGTTGGACTCGATGGCCCTTGTGGTCTCTTCCAACTCTATGATTCTATGATTCTATTACATTTACAGATTCTGCTCCATTACTATTTGTAAATTTCTTCATAAACGGTTCTCAGCTTTTGCGTTCTTTTCTGACAGGAGGCATGGCCTTTGCTTGCAGCACTGGATTGCGGGAAATGCACACTTCCCCGAGTGAAGCCTTTTGCACGCCATTTTCACAAAGACAGTTCCTAGGCAATCCTTGAAAAATCATAAATTGGACACTCCCAATCGTGTGTGTTTTCTTTAGAAGACTGGACCTGTGTTTCCTGTTTGCTGAATATATCTTCCATCCTATTTCCAAGCCACTTTGTGTGCATGTAGCAACGATAAGAACAATAACCCTGTTTTTTCTAAAAACTAAAATGTATAACAAATGCACTGTGGATGTATGCAGTCTTCCTAGTCTGAAGACTAAAAACATGTCCAGAATATAAAAAATGCAAAGACAACAGAAAATATTCATATTTATTTTTTTGTACTCAGCACATACAAAGATCAAAACAAATGTAATAGCATTTGTAAACATACTTTAAATTAAAAAAATTAAACTATCATGTATTTGCTCTGAAGGAGAAGTAGACTTACCCTCATTTATAAAGTTAGATTCTGTAAAATCATATGAACAACACTAGCACTTTAAAATATCCCCCAAATAGCAAGATATTCCTTATTTCAATCAATTTCAAAAGATCACAGCTTGAAGGCCAAATCAACACGTGAACCAAAGCTGGCACTGTTATCTCCATATTCAAGAAAACCAAAACTATCACAAGTTTAGCCTGTCTTGTTTAAGGAACCTGAGTGTGTAGATAAAGAATGTATATCCACCTGTAGAAGCTGAACTTGTTTATCCATATCTCATGTCAAAATACATAGGTCTAAACTATCTTTTAGAACCAAAATCTTGGGATGCATTCAGACAGCTAATGTCCTTGCATGATGAGCTCAGGATTGGGTCTAAGGTGCTCATATAAACCCTCTCTCTGCTCCTCACACAACCCAATGCAAAAATTAATGACTACAGACAGGAACTGTGGCTGGAATGGAATGTGTGAGCCAGGGATTCCTGAACATGTTGGCCAAACAAATTTGGGACAGAGAAGAAGTAGCACCAGAAGCATCACCAGGCTAAGGTGGTTTTTCTTTCATCTAAAAACACAGGTCTACTGAAAGACAGTACCACCAGTTATTAAGGCACCATCTTAACACCCGTTCATTACTTTATAAGCTGATCAATAAAATCCAAAGAGTCAGATGCGCTATATAAATATATATATATATAAACTCTAGTGATTTTTGTATAATTGTTAACATGGTGCAAAAACCTATTTGTTTCAGGGATAAACAGAATTTTTAAAAGCATTTCATTATTAGTCATCTGGATCCCTTTATCACTGGCCATTAAGTCATATTTAATAACTACAATTATATTGACTCCTGATTTCATTATAACTCAAAAGAAAAAAAGCGAAAGACTATCATTGCTGGATTTTATTCATAAATGAAACCACAGAACAGCTGCAACTGTGTGTAAATGAAACAAAACAAAAATTAAAAGGCTACAGTAGTCAAAAAATAACAACAGTTTTATAAACTACCTGCAACATTCCAGAATTTTGGGCATATTTCTTAGCTTTTTTCCAAAGTAATAGAACTACAGCCTGCAAGTCTTTGTCTGCTACACCTTCTGTTCTATGGATTATGACACAATTTTAAAAACTTATTTGGAATGCAATGAGTATGTGAGATGATGCATGAAGCGGTGAGAGATGGTTCTTTCTCAAAGGGTTGTCATGAGCTTATCCTGATACAACAGGCTCTGGATCCCAACTAAGTTCTTCTGGTTCTGGTCCTGAATGTACCACAAATTGCTGTCCTCGCCATTTGGGGATTGTTTCCAACAGAGCCTGTCATCCTGATAGGGTGGCCTGAAGCATGTGCAGAGTGGCGGTGAATGAGAAGCAAAAAGGAAAAACACAGTTATGAATGGCAAAATAAATGAGCTGATCACATACATGGAAAATGAGACAACAGTGGGGGACTATATGGATGGAAAATATTAGCAGGGGGGAAACCTAAGTGGGGAATGAAGAACTGAAACCACAGATGGAGTACAATCCTCTAGAAAGTTCACTAAGTCCCACTTCAATGAATGGGAGAAACTCATTGTCCATCTGTGCAATGCAGGCTGTGCAGAACTTTCCCCCCAGAGGATTATGTGTCGTGCTTTCCCCTACATGTGCATGCATGGAATTGCATACACAGACACTTGCAAAGTGGCACACGAGTGTTTATTCTGCCTCAAGTAGACCACTTAGAAGCTGTTCACCAGGTTTATCTCGGAGATGTGCTCCATGAAGAAAAATGATGAAACAGCCCTAAGGAATTTTCAACACTTGAGAGCTGCACATTAATGTAAAAATGGGTTAGTTGTACACTGAAAATGTACTGAAATCATGTGCACTGCTCTATGTGGGCATTATGGGTAATGTGGAAATGCTTTTTGTTTTTATTACTTAATTCTATAAAAACATTAAGACATAACAAAAAAAAAACCCCACATTGAGACAAAACACTAAAACATACAAAATATAATTCACTACACAATACATTTCTACCAACACTTTTAGACTGGTAAAAGTTGAGAAGAATAGAGAAAAACAGAGGGCAGGGCAGCACCCCCCTTTTTTTCCAGGGTTCATTTTTTATGAAACTTCCATTGTTTCCATTTCATACACCAGCTCCCCCCCATTTCAGGTACTTTCCGCTAATGTGCCTCCTTTTTTGCCCCCACTGATGTTGGAGGTCTGATGGTGCTAAGACAAAGGGGGGGCCTCCCAAACTCAGACCTGCCTCCCTATTCTGTGACCTCCCCCCCCCCCCGAGAGAATGATCCGAAACATCCAACGGCCTGGGGGGTACCTCCCAAAAACAGGAGAACTCCGCAGCCAAAATCTGTATACATGTCATACCCATTTCATTTACACCAAGTTCATTTTGTATTTTTTGATGAACTTTAAAAGGCTGTAAGCGTAGTCAGCTACTCCAAGGCAGAAAATGTAGCTCTCTCAAATTGACCCATTTAAAGAAAAAAAACCAGGACTAGAATTTTTTTTTAAAAAATCTGTTCTTCCATAATTTATTTATATGTAACACTGGTTCTTGTTTGTCCAGCCAATGGTAGTTTTAATGATATTCAATAAGACTAAGGAAGTTTCAGGCTCTCATTTTAATTGAAAAAAATCTCATTAACCATCTTCTGAATTATTTGTGCCATCATTTCCCTTCTCTGATCCTAACTAGATGATAGATTGTCCATGCTGTTTAATTTTATAATAGTTTTCTCTATCAATAACTGTCCCAGAAAATCAGGATTCTTTTTTAATAAAAATGTCCCATTCTTTGATGGGCATAAAAATCTTTACTAGACCCAGCTTCAACTTTTATTTGTGTTTTTTTTAAAAAAAACTTGTTTGTTTTTAAAATGATTTTATGATTTTGACAGCAACTTTCTCTCTGCAATGTTGCTTCTCAAATTCTGATTTCTCACAAGCCATATTGCATTTTTTTAAAATTTCTGGTTCTTCAAAGAGAGAGTTGATTCTGCTTTGAGGCCTCCCTTTCCCATTAATGCAGAGTTGGGGAGGCTATTTCAGCCGGGGGGCAAAATTCCTTTCTGAGGGTCAAGTGTCAGTGTTGGGCAGGGCCAGAGAAGCAACAGTAAGCTGCTTACTGCACATACACTCACACAGCAATCATTCCTCCAGTCAGGTAAACGAGGCATTGGCAGTGCTCAAGGATACTTTCCAGTGAGGCAAAAATGCTTGCAGTGTGAAGCCTCATCTGTCCCCCTGGGCCTGAGCAGCAACCCCCCCCCCCCGGCATTAATGTGTAGCAACCCATGCTATGTCCTCATGTTATGCACTTCTCCACTCTTGGCATCCAATAAAAAGAGTGATGAGAGGGTTGTGCTGTGCACCATCCCCATATCACAGATTTCATAAAGTCCACCGATTTCTCTTTTTTTATTTTAGCTATCTGTAATTCTACAGGCTTGGGTAACCCCAAATATAGAGCCAAGTTTTGTTTCTGTTGTTTCTGTCTCCAAAATCACAGGTGCCTCTGTGAAAAATTCCTTCACATCCCCTCTTTCTCAAATAGCATTTCTTCGCCAGCATTCATACTATATATATTATCTCTGCAATCCTTACCTTTAAGACAGGCTAGAATTATTGAGGTGCTGGTACTGCAGATGATGGCTGAAAATGAGAACAGTGGTTTGCCTATTCTCATACAGTGAGATCATAGATGAGCTGAGGATTTCCTGCCACTGTGCTCATCATATGCTTAGCCCCCAGGTGACACCAGATTAGGAGCAACGTGTTGTACACACAAACACACGGTCCTGTTTCCCAACTAGTGAGATCATCCCCCCCCCAGACTGAATAACTTTTACAACATCTGCACAGAGCAATCACTTACCTTAGATTTACAGGAGGATGTGGGTGCCAGTGTGATTGGCCAGGGTGCATATTTGGGTGATACGGAGGCTGAAAATAAAATATGAACCTAGGTTATTGAAGAATTTGTAATCTCACTTACATAGGTTAAAAATTCCACAGCAGCCTTTAGGAAGGAAGGAAGGAAGGAAGGAAGGAAGGAAGGAAGGAAGGAAGGAAGGAAGGAAGGAACTGAAACTGCTTACACACTGGCAGAGAACTTTATAGTTGCCTATAAGGCAAATATTGATTCCAATTCTGAGGAAAAACACATTCAAAAGTTTACTTTGACTTTTGAGGTTCCTCTTCACATGTAGCCTTTGCAACTTCAGAAGCGACCCAGGTGTGCCCTTGACTAGGAGTAAGTGGGGAGTCCTGAGATCTGAGAATGAACTGTATCACTTCAGACTCTGTGTGATCATGTTTTGAATGCAGAATAAATAAATAAAAGGCTTCCCTACAACTGGATATAGTAGTAGGGGAATTAGGCAAGAATATTTCTTTCTTCTGTGCTAGTTTTATATTTGCAGTGGTGGACAGGCATTTTTAACAAAGTGATTCCCTCTCCTGTAATCTGAAATAGTACAGGCATTCCACCTCCTCACAGTTCCCTTATGCTGTATGTATCAATCCAGTCTGAAATAAACCTAATTCTTTGCTGAAAGTGACACCACTCTTATACCACACATTCCTGGGTCTAGAAGCATACTTCTGAATTGTTGCAATACTCTAAATGAGACACTGATACTACTTTTGTGGCTAGAGAACTGGTCGGCCATCTATCTCACTAGGCTGCTGTGACCATTTGTCACTTCTCTTTTTTCTGAGTACTTGGGTTTATGTACATCTGTTATGTATCGCCACTGCGTCCAAAATGGAACCACACAACTGGTAGACTGACAGCATCCTCCAAGAGATTTTGATTTGTTTAAGCGTTTTCACACATTTCATAGGTGAAATCTTATAATCTCAGTTACTCATTGCTCTCTAATAAGCGTATGTGTACAATGCATAGATTTGAAACATAAATTTACTCTTAATCAAACTTTCTAATTTTCTTTCTTACAGAAATCCCCTTGAATGCTAGCTTTCAGATACGGCTTCACTTTTAGCCAACATACTTCACAAACATACAAACATATGAAAGGCACATGACATTAGCACACAAAAATATTCACAATCACAAATGGTAGAGCAAGCAAGCAAGTCACTTTGATCATGACACTGTTGGTGCTATAACTAAGGTAACAGAAAAATAAGAATTCAGTATTCCTCTTACCTGATAGTTATGGACTTCTTGGTTATTTTTAGTGCTAAAACAAAAACGATATTATTATTTTTTGCATAGTTCTCATAAAGTGTAACACAGAAGCTTATCTTATTAATGAACAAGGCAAGCTAACGCAAGGGGGGGGAAATGCCTTTAAGATCTTAGCAAGTAGGTTTGAATTATGTTTTAAGTAGTGTAGCTATTAGAATGGCAGCTCAAGAGACTGCAACTTGTGGAGGTGCTTTTGCAAAACATTGCCTGCATCTCCCCTCTTCAACCCCTCTCACGCAGCTGACCGACAGGATGATGTGCTCCATTCTCCTTCCAACAGCATATTGCCATCTGTGCCTCAACCTCGTGAAGTGAAACTTCTGGGGCAGATGGAACATCTGCAAACATTCCAAGTTTGCCTCAGCCAGTGGCTATGGAAGACTAATTTATTAGATTTATACCCCTCCAAGGATCCAAAGACAGTTTACAGCATAAACAATTCCCAACTGAATTCAGTTGCAATGGTTCAAATCAGTTTTGAATGTTGGGGAGGGAGGATTCAAACACTGGAGAAGCACCCGATCCTGCTGCCTGCTTCTGAACCACAAATTAAGTGCTCAGGAACATCATGCCTGTATTCTGAGTTAAGAGTTGAGGAGTGTCACTGCTTGTAAAATGTTTTCTGTCCCTATTCTGATCCCTTAATGGGACACATTAGGAGTTCCTGCACTAGGAGGTTTCCAGTACCTTTATCTAGGGGCGGCTTGGATAGCAGATGGCAAACCAAATAATTAATGTGAAAGATGGATCACACTTACCAAATCTGGGGTGCTTTGTGAGTGTTGCTTGCTAAGAGAGGGCACAGAAAAGCAAGGGTAAACATCACTACTTTTGAAAAAAACCAACCCTCTGTTTTTTATTCAGGATAGCATTCCAGCATTACATAAGGGGCAGCAAGTGACAGAAGGGGGAATAAGTAGGTCTGTCTGCCCTAAGTTTTCATGTACAGCCCCCATGGTCTCCTCTCCATCCAACTCCTACTCATGAAAACAGGGTGGAGATGAATGAGGCACCTACAACTGAACTCTCCTCTCTGTGCTTCCCAACCTAGGCACATAAAGGAAATTTAAATGTACAGCCCACTTCTGTGGGTGAAAAGGAGATTCTGTGACTGAAGAGTGTGCCAAAAAGCTAATGCTGCTATGCTTAGGGTCCACCTTCAAAAGACGTTGATGGTGTCCAGATGTTACGTTATGCCATAGGTTAGCGCGACAAGAAAAAGCTGCAGAGAGCCTCTGACTTGTGTTCCGCCCTTCACTCGTATCCTCTGGTGAGACCACAAGACGTTCAGAAGCTTCCACTTCCAACTTAGATTAATCACAACTTGTTGTGTCACTCAATCCAGACACAGCATGAATCTTAACTATGGTTCGTTTGAAACAAACTTCAAACCAGGGGTTATGAAGTTGACTTGTTTAAACAAGCCATAGCTAGCATTACCCACAATTTAGGGTTCCAGTGTCATACTGAACTGTAGTTAATGGAAATTAGAACTGAAATCATCTGAGCTCTCACAGGTGTGCGAGAAGAGGGGAGGAGAACAAGGCTTGCTGTGCCTTGCTCTCATCATGCTACACTATGGTCTGTCTCATGAGTGCTGCTTCTTCATAACTGTAGGCGTTGTAGACTTCTTTAAGGCCTCTGTTGTATTTGATGAACAACGTACAGAGAAGTACCTTGCCTGAACTTGGGGCTTTTCAAGTGCTTCTGAGAATCAATAAACCAGAAAAATAATGAGTGCGGGAAAGGAAACTGACAGAAACAAAACAAAATGAACAAAATATAATTGGGAGGGGAGATTTAAGAACAAACTAGCAAACAGGAGCACTACAAAGTGGAAGGGGAACTTTGTTTTAGGACATCCCCTTGCATTTCTTCATGGTGTGATGAAACAAAGCCATTATGGTATGTGAGATGCAATGGAGAAAATAAGCTCTAATTTTAGTTAAGCAATTTGCTTAATGAATATGGCATGCAAGTTCGCTGCAAATTCTAACCTTTGAAAGTTGAATGCCTTCGGGATGGGTATCGCTTGCTGGGCCTCCTTTCAAAGGTACTGGCTCTGCGTAGTCTGGATCCACGTGTTGCCTGGTATTCTGTTCGACCGCTTAAAAAAATAAGAAGTAACGAAGACTTACAGTGCATTTCTATATAATCTACTTGGAAGCAAGTCCCAGCAAGTTCAACAGGTAAGAGGGCATACGTTTTCAGCCTTAGTTTACTTCACTAACAGCTCCCATCCTCAAAACACAAAACCTACACAGTCATATAAATGCTGTATGCCAAACCAAGACTTTAGCCTAGTACAGCTGTATTTTACATTTATTTGTGGCTTCATAAATCATCTCTTTCCCCAAGAAAATTAAAGACAACAAGGGCACTTCATAGCAATCAATACAGCTACAAGTATGGCTATCACTCAGTTTCAGAAATCTTAAGTGGATAAATCATTGGAGTCTCAACTGACCAATTAATTCTGCATAAGCCTGCATATCATACTGTGAGTGACACCTGTCAAGGATACAGGTGCTGCTACACTAAAGGAACAACACCTCACAAATGCAGAATGGACATCATGTGTCACTTGTAAAAGTACAAGTTCCACAGATAAAATGATTTGAATGGGCTCATATAGGGAAAGGCAACCTTAAGAAAACTGGACCCAAAACTGGACATAACAATAGCAATAGCATGAACTTGGCCCAGTAACAAATTAGCACCCAGTGAGTAGAGGTGTATACATGGGGGGGGGGTGCCTGTCCTGCAACTCTAAATTACCAGATTACAAAAACCTCAGCCTCAAAAGAGTCCTCAGAATATAGCACTCAGAATATGAGCAAAGAGCTGCCTTGCAAAGCAGAAGCGAAGCCAAGACCTCCAGGACTTCCGGAGGGTTTCCCTACTCATGCTCACCCTCTCCAATTGCTAGAAGGAACCAGACACCCTTCCTACTTATCCAAGCCTGCCAATGTGTCTGGCAGGAGAGAGACTCCTATTCAACAAGCAGAAGAAGAAGAGTTTGGATTTGATATCCCGCCTTTCACTCCCTTTAAGGAGTCTCAAAGCGGCTGACATTCTCCTTTCCCTTCCTCCCCCACAACAAAGACTCTGTGAGGTGAGTGGGGCTGAGAGACTTCAAAGAAGTGTGACTGGCCCAAGGTCACCCAGCAGCTGCAGGTGGAGGAGCGGAGACGCAAACCCGGTTCCCCAGATTACGAGACTACCGCTCTTAACCACTACACCACACTGGTTCTCAAACAAACAAACAAGCCAAATTTTTGTGACTTAGCAGCTTCTGTGGCCTTATTTGCAAGGGTGAATATGCAAGTAGGTACCTGAATCGAAAGCGGGATCCCAGCCTGATAAAATCTGACCGGCTAGATTTACTGTTTGCAGGTGTGCGCAACCGAAAGAAGGCATGATGCTCCACTGCACATTTCCAGAGATGCTTGCAGGTTTTAGCATTGTCTAATCTGAAAACAAATGTGTGCTCTTGCTCTCTACCCTGAAAGACAAAAAACGGAAGCCTTGTAAGTTTTCATGCAACCAATGTCACAGAAAGAGAGCTTGAACTGTCAATGTGCTGAATATCTCAGGGTCAACTGCTGAACTCCTGGGACTCTGGATATGGCGAGGTTGGGGTTCATTACCTGATCATCATCTTCGACCACCACAAGGGTCAGCTTGCTCTTTTTGAAGTCCATTTTTGTGATTTTAGGCCTGGTCACATAGAAGACAGATGATGTAAACAGTTAATTCTCAAGAGAAACAAAACATTATGTAACATATTTATATATAAATGCTGTTTTATTATCATGCTAATCTGAAGAGCCGGGGGGGGGGGTGTCAATCTCTCCGTTTTTTTAGTGGGTGGGGAGAGATTAGTATTGAATAACAGTAAGTGTAAGTAGGAATTACTCACCAAAAAAACAAACCTATTTTGTTTGCCCCTTCAAAGATCAAGATCCCTGTTGGTGTCAACCCAAGAGCATAGTCACAACCATCCCTTCCCTACAAGCAAACAAATGATGTTATTTCAAACACAAAAAATCATCTGCCAGACGTACATTCAGAAAGTGAAACAGGTGAAGGAAGTTGCTTTTAAGCACAATGTCTTAGAGCCACACGGTGAACCTCGTTCCCACCCCCTGCATAAAGAAATTGCAGGGAGAAGCTCTTACCTTCACTACATGCATATCCACCCCATACATTTCTAGCCATTTGGCTTTGTTCAAGTAGCACATTTCTGCCTGTGCAGGGCTCTTTCCCCTAGGAAAAGGAAAGGGAGAAAAACAGTTCTTAATCAGAAGTATTGCTTCTTTCCTTCCACCAAGCCGTAGGGATTCAGTTTTGGGTTTATTCACACTTCCTCTGCTTTCCTTTGGGAGAAACTGCTCTTTAGCCCTCAGTCAGAGCAAATGGCAATTCTAGTATTTTTCCAGATTGACATTTGCTCTGATTTAGAGCTAAAGAGCAGGTTTTCCCTGGGAAAGGAGAGGAGCAAGGGGGGAAAGGCTTGGACTCGGGCCCAGAAAGTGTGGGTCAAGCAGAGCCACGCTTTCTAGGGATGGGACAAGCGGAGGTGTGGACAAGCCCTTTGCATGTCTTACTACAGAGACCAGAAGCTGTTTATCTAGTGGGATGGAGCTGTAGCAATACCTTCCCATTTGCTGGGTGGGAGGTGGACGAAGCGGTGGGGAGATGAGTGTGGGAACACTAGCACCAAATTGGCTTTGCCAGTGTGCCCGCACCACACTGACCTCCCCACCACCTTGCCCCTCTCGCTCCTGGCAGGGATGGCCCATCCCGTTTCACCACCTGAGGCAAAATGGGATGGTGCCATCTTCACCACCGCCCCTCCGCCACAGCCTCGCTTATTGGGGACAGCTGAAGCCGCTGGCGTGATCTTGCTGGAAGCAGAAACTGTAGCCGCTTCTCGTTTCTCCAGTGATAGTGGTGGGCAACCACACCCCGACACAGAAGCAGTGGCGGCAGTGGTGAGATCTAGCTAGAATTCCGTAAGATCTCCCCCCTGCTGCTGCTTCTCCTCTCTTCTCCAGCAGCAGCAGGGGCAGGCAGGTGCCCTTAGGGGATTCCTCAGTCTGCCTCGCGGGCAAGCCACCCCTCTCCTGGTAAGCAGCAGCAGTGCTGCTGCTAGGAGGCCAGAGTTGTGGCTCAGCACACACTGGGTGAGCCAGTTCTGACGGAGAGCTCAATTCACTTCTTTGCTGGTCTCTCTCTCTCTCTTCTCTCTCTCTCTCATCACATGCTAAATTGCAGATAAAATCAGGTATCTTCCCACCATACCTGAATTCTTTCCACTTCTGAAAGATTTCAAATTCCATTGCTTCAGTTTGATTAGGAGTAAATAGGAATTCTGAAACAAGTTCTGGAGTGTGTTCAGGGAGCTCACATTCGCCAAGCTCAGCTGTCAAAAGTTGGAAATTCCAAATAAGATATCACATCGAAGTAGATTATAAACACTACTATCTTTTCCAAGCTAAGATGTTATTAGAAAACACCTTCTCCGTTTAAGTTTTCCAGCTTAAACAAATTCAGAGCAAGAGAGCAATAAGCAACAGAGAAAGTTAGCATATAGATATTCTGGTCTGTGGGAAAAGGTATTACTCAGATTTGTAACACAAATTCATTGGGTACTCCTGGATTTATTATGAGTATTAAGAGCATATATAAAATAAATAATTTCACTTGAAAAAAGCCTTTAGATTAAGCGGAACAACCTCTTGCCCTAAGGAAGAACATCCCTCAAACGCTGAGGGAGGGAGCAGGTTTGCTCTCAGTCCCCACGCTCCCTGCTGCTCCTGTCCAGGAGCCAGGTCACACCAGCTGAGCATTCAACCTTGCACACACGAGTTGATTTGGATCCCACCCCCTTGTACGAAAGAGCTGTGTACCAAATGCACAGGTGCCAAGGGGCGTCCCTGCTGGGTGCTGCGCTGGGCGTGTCTGGGTGGCCGACTTTACACATTTTTTTGAATGCACGGATCTCTTTTCAAGAGGCGGGGAGAGAATATAAGAGAGCAACTATGTGAAGAACATCACATTTTTCTCTTATTTGAAAGATCTCTAGAACAACTGCATTTTATGAACAGATCATTTCTTAATTTCCTTGGTAGCAATATTCATTTTTTATCCCAACAGTTATTGGCATTGTAAAGTGAGGGGGGGGAAGTATTTGATTCTTGCTATAAATTTGCCCATTTGCCCTCTGACGAAGAAATGACTAGTCCATAATTTTAATAGCAGGAACAAAAAAAAATTCCTTCCAGTAGCACCTTAAAGACCAACTAAGTTAGTTCTTGGTATGAGCTTTCGTGTGCATGCACACTTCTTCAGATACACTGAAACAGAAGTTGCCAGATCCTTCTATATAGTGAGAAGGTGGGGAGGGGTGTGGTGGGAATGGGTGATTGGCAGATAGCTGTGATGAGCCTGTTGACGGCTCTTAACGACTGCAATAGGTCTTACAGGAAAAAGCAAGGGGTGAGAAGGTGAAAAATGGCTTTGTCATGTATAATGAGATAAGAATCCAATGTCTTTGTTCAGACCAGGTCTCTCCATGGTTTTAAGTTTGGTAATGAGTTGCAATTCAGCAGCTTCTCTTTCCAGTCTATTTCTGAAATTCCTTCGTAGTAAAACAGCTACTTTGAGATCTTGTATAGAATGTCCTGGGAGATTGAAGTGTTCTCCTACTGGTTTCTCTGTCTTGTGATTCTTGATGTCAGATTTATGTCCGTTTATTCTTTGGCATAAGGTTTGGCCTGTTTGTCCAATATAGAGAGCTGAAGGACACTGTTGGCATTTGATGGCATACACAATGTTAGACGATGAGCAATTAAATAGTCCCGAGATGGTATGTGTGATGTTGTTGGGGCCAGTAATGGTGTTGTCCGGGTGTATGTGGCAGCAAAGTTGGCATCTGGGTTTATTGCAGGCTCTGGTGCCAGTGTCCGTGTTAAGTCTGGTTGTAGTATTATTGTGGGTTAGGAGTTGTTTAAGATTGGGTGGCTGTCTGTAGGCAATGAAAGGTCTTCCTCCCAGAGCTTGAGAAAGAGAACTGTCATTGTCCAGGAGAGGTTGTAGATCTCTGATGATGCGTTGTACTGTTTTAACTTGGGAGCTCTATGTGATGACTAGAGGTGTTCTGTTATTTTCTTTTTTGGGTCTGTCTTGCAGCAAGTTCTCTCTGAGTATCAGTCTGGCTCTGTTGATCTGTTGTCTAACTTCATCTGCTGGGTATTTTAGTTCTAAAAAGGTTTGCTATAGATCTCTTAGGTGAGAGTGTCTGTAGAATTGGAACAGATACGGCTGTAACGTAGTGCCTGGCTATATACAATGGACTGTTTGGTATGTTTGGGATGGTAGCTAGAGGCATGTAGATATGTTTGTCGGTCAGTTGGTTTACGGTATAAGGTGGTGTCTATGCGCCCATCCTGTATTTTTATAGTAGTGTCCAAAAAATGTATTTCTTGCATAGATTGATTCATTGTTAGGTTGATTGTGGGGTGAAAATCATTGAATTTCTGGTGGAAGGTGTCCAGGGTCTGTTGACCATGTGTCCAGATGATAAAAATATCATCAATGTATCGCAGGTACAAGAGAGGTTTGAGTGGGTAGGAGTTTAGGAAACGTTTGACCACAACACTTTCACCCAGTTCTCCTCTGGGTCATTCAGATGTGCATTGGCAAACTGTAGATGGGCCTGTACATATGCTGTCTTGAGCAAGGGGACCTTGTGGGCTCTGCAAGATCTCTGTCCTTCACGGTGTAGTGTGTTACCAACTGTTTTCATGGTGGCTCTGGTCCCAGCTGCCCTGAGATCATTGACAAGTTCCCCCCGTGTAGTTCTGGGCTGCTTTAACACCGTTCTCCTGATCACTGCAACTCCACGAGATGAGATCTTGCATGGAGCCCCAGACCAAGGGAGGTTGACAGTTATTTTGTGTTTCTTCCATTTGCGAATTATTGCACCAACTGTTGTCACCTTCTCACCAAGCCGCTTGGCAATAGTCTTGTAGCCCAGTCCAGCCTCGTGCAGGTCTACAATCTTGTCCCTGACATCACTGGACAGCTCTTTGGTCTTGGTCATGGTGGCTACTTTGGAATCTGATGGATTGATTGCTTCTGTCGACAGGTGTATTTTGTACAGGTACTGTAACGAGCTGGGATTACAGGTAAGACCTCTCCCTTACAGCAGGTGCTTCTAATCTCAGCTCGTTACATACAGAGAAGATACCAAGTAGCCTGACATCTGGCTGGTTAATAGGGGATCAAATACTTATTTCACTCATTATAATGCACATCAATCTCTGACTCTCACAGCTATAATAAACCTCATTAAAATTATGAACTGGTCATTTCTTCATCAGAGGGCAAATGGGCAAATTTAGCAGGGGATCAAATACTTTCCCCCCTCACTGTATATATATTTTTCCTCCTCTCTTGTTTCCACTAAGCCAATTCAGATTTTTTCAAATGAACAAATTTAAGTATTACAACCAAGCCATTTACTATTTCTGTGAAAGCATTATTTCATAGAAACATGGTTAGCGATTTGGGACAGGAACTGAAGCCTAACATACATACATGAGTTTTAGCTGTCAGTCCCCTGTCAGCAATTAATGTGTAACTATGGGAGAGTTTTCACAGGCTGCAGAAGAGCTTCCACCAGACTTTCTGACAGGCAAAGGCTACTGGGAAAGAGAAAGACTGCCTTCTCTTGGAAGACAAGTACTATGGAGCCTATTACTTCCCCCCCTTAAAGTTCAGTTCAAGTAAAGTTCAAACAGGCAGTATGTAGGTCTACTCTGTCTGCAGCGGTTCCAGGCACCACCATAGCTCTGACACATGGCCTTTGGCGGCCATATGTGAATGAGCAGCCAACCCTGGGACATACCTTGGAGACACAAAGCAGCGAGTTCTACAGCTGTTTCATAAGGGCATTTCAATCTGCAAAAAAAGATACAAATATTTCAGTAAACAACAATAATCCCTCACAAAGAAGCCCCCCTCCCCTCCATCAATTGAACATTATTATTTATTAATTAAAATATTTCATATTATTTCTCTTAAATGACATTCAAGGTGGCCAACTGCAAACAACTGGATACACAATCCAATTACAGTAGTTACAAGTGAAACCATTTTAAAAAACCTTTTATGAATTCTCCTGCAATGTTAAAACGCCATATCCATGAACTCCATATCCATGGAGTATGGAAATGCTTAAATAAATAATTTTTGGCTGGCCTTGGCTGTGGCTGCCAGAGCATGCAACACCCCCATCCCTTCCACTACCTTGTGAGGAGCTAACTCTATGCTTGGGTATTACCACTTTGTGCACACAGAAAACTAGTATTCAAGGGGGAAAGTTTTTGGCCTTGCCGTCTCCATAAGCTAATTTTCTATGTGCAGGAAACTGCTTTGTGTAGAGAATCATTTGGCCATATGAGCTCCCACTGACAGGATGAAGGGGTACAACTCAGAGACGGCTTTATCACCCTTGTAGAACCAAGCTTGGTTAAACAGCAGGTACAAGCCTTGCCATTTTCCCATTCTGCACTTGCCAGATCAGAAGTGAGGGTGACTTGCCAAGCCCACTTAACGGTCCCTGATTCATGTTTCCCTTCTATGGAAACAGAGCAAACTCCTACTACACCAGTTATTCAGACCTCCCCTGCCCCCACACCAAATAATTACATGCATAACAGTGTAACCACTGCCAAGCCTAATCTTAGCATGTAAGAGCTTCTCATGCCCTTTCAAAACGAAAAGTGAAATACTTACTATTAGCTGCAAATACAACATGTTACTTTGTTTATTTCCATGAGGAAGAAGGAAGTCGCTCAAAGGATTATACACTCCCCATGTAACAATTAACCAATCAAAAAGGGTCCCTTTCAAAAGCTCGTGACCAAAGATAAACTTTCCCGCAAGGACTCTACAGAGAAAGGCTCTCTGCTGTTGACCAAGGCTGCAATCCTTAGCACCTAGGGCTCATCCACGCTTTCTAGTCACAGGTCCAAGCTTTCCACTGGCAAAACTGCATTTTGCCACTAAAACGGCAGAAAACCCAATTGCCATTTGCTCCAATTAAGTGGTGAAACGTGGGTTTTCCTGGGGAAAGCGCTGGGACAAAAAAACCCCACCAAAACCCCTTGGACACAGACCTGTACAGCCTGGCCCTGTGCCTAGAAACGTGGAGCAACGGAAAGTCTGAATGAGCTCTTACAAGGGAGAAAGGTGCATTGCAATCCTAAACATACTTACCTAGGAGTAATTCCTACTGAATTCAGCAGGACTTGCTTCTGAATAGCCTTGCTTAGGATTGCATGCAGGGCAGAATGGGAATAAATACACTCAGGATTGCTCTGCAAAACTCTCCACTTTTATCAGATACAGGTGGAAACCACTTAAACTTCCACTGGCTTTATTTAAAGGTATCACTTCCTTTTCAAAAATACATTTTGGAGCAGAGACTTGCAGTAAAGGCTCCATTTGGGGTGACATCTGCTATTCATGTTGACTGTAACACAGAGAGGCAAAGTTTCACTTGCACTATACAACTGCTTTCTCCTCCCTTGAACTGGTCTGTCAACTCAGATCTTCATCTGAGGCTCTTGCCAAGCTGCTACCTCCTTCAAACAGTTGGCAGGGGCAGGGCTTCCAGAAAGTGTACCTTTCCTCTGGCAATGTCAAGGTTCAGGGAATCTTGTCCCTTCCCCGGTGGCAGCCAAAAAGCAGATAAACACGAAGAGTCCTTACCACGTGATTTATTCCGTATTCACACACAGAGAGAAAGGAACGTAATCCTTATTCTATAATGGTGTTGCTCCGAGTAAAGCCCAACCCCCTCCGTCTCTCTTATCCTATGTCATTCCTGTGCTGGCTAAGCTGAGCTTTCTGCCCTTGAGCTTTCTGTTCTCCTACCCTCAATGCACGCCTGGTCCTGGGAGAGGAGGGCTCAGGAATGCTCTCCAAAGACACGGAGTCGGTCAGCTGCCTCTGCCCAGTGTTTCTTCTTTCTGTTGTTCCTCTCCCAATATTTCCCAGCTTTCCCCCTCTGCAGTCTCTGAACTATGTCCTTCTGCAAAACACAGTTCTAAATCTATACTGTCCTCCTGTTCTCGAGAGGGTTCAGGAGGAGGGGGTGGCCCCCCTGAGTCCAGCCCCTGACAGGCAATAGCCCTTCCCCAAGCAAACCAACAGCACCTTTTAGATGCCAGAATAATTTGGTCCTGTTTGCTTAAGCATGTAATAGCAATTAATATTTACTGGCCATGACTGTTCTTTCCCTGCATTTCTTTTTTTGTATTTTGTTATGGTTTTCAAATTTATCTTAGTTATTGTTTGCATTTTTATATTTTATTAACTGTGTTTGTAAGCCTGGCCTGAGGCCTTTTGTAATGGAAAGAGGGAAGTAAAAACATATTTCTATTATTATTAGATAGCCTTCATGATATAGTCTTTGCTGTTGAAATAAAGCTCTCTCATCCAAGCATCCTTCCAGACCCAGACAGAAACACAGACTCTGACCAAGAGGCTGATCCAGAAAGCCATGTTCTGGTGGAAGCGCATAGTGGAAACAGCACCCGGAAGAAAGAAGATGAAACTCAGCAAAGAGGACAGGCTGAGTTTCCCTTGTAGAAGATGAAGCGCTAGTGTTACATCTGCTCAACAACCAAAGCTAATTCCCCCCCCCCTTCCACTCTTATTTCAAAGCTATTTTTGTCTTTGTATCAGAAAGGCACCCAGCCAATTTGGCTGCCAATAAACATTGCTGCAGACATTTCTGAGATCATGGTCTTTCCAACGAGAGGCTCTCGTCCAGGTTTGTTCATTGCCATACTTTTAAATGTTGTGAGGATCCTATGCCCTTTCAAAATGTGGTTTTTGGGGGGTGGAGTTATTGGGTTGTTGTTTTCATTTTGATTGTGTATTTTGTGGTTTTATATTTTGATTTTATTCTGTGAACCGCCCTGAGACCTCCAGGTATAGGGCAGTATATAAATTTAATTAATAATAATAACAATAACAAGCCCCAATATAACGGTAAAAAAGATAAAGGACCCTTGGACGGTTAAGTCCAGTCAAAAGTGACTATGGGCTTGCGGCTCTCATCTCGCTTTCAGGCCGAGGGAGCCGGCATTTGTCCACAGACAGCTTTCCAGATCATGTGGCCAGCAGGACTAAACTGCTTCTGGTGCAATGGGGCACCATGACGGAAACCAGATCACGCAGAAATGTCATTTACCTTCCCGCCGCAGCGGTTCCTATTTATCTACTTGTGCCAGCGTGCTTTTGAACTACTAGGTTGGCAGGAGCTGGGACAGAGCAACGGGAGCTCACCCCGTCGTGCGGATTCGAACTGCCAACCTTCCAATCGGCAAGCCCAAGAGGCTCAGTGGTTTAGACCACAGCACCACCCACTCCCCAATATGCAGAGCAGTGATGTGCAAACCTTCCTTTCATCTTAGCTCAGATTAGTGTCATCTGAGTGTGGGAAGGTACTTAACATAGACACATACAGACACACCAGAAGAGGAAGATGGAACACTTTTGTCTTCCGTTCCCATCACTCCAGGTCATTGGCCATGCTGGTTGAGAATGACAGAGTCCAACAGCAGGTTTCTCACTCTTGTCAAGTGACTCGAAGTGTTTTTGCCTAGGTGGGCTAACTCAGGGCTCCCAGATGTTGCTGGACTCAGACAGCCCGTCTGCATGGAGGTCAGGGGTGATGGGCATTGGAGTGTAGCAACATCTGGAGGAACAAAGATTAGCCACCCTTATTTTATTACTTAATAAAATGTTATGTCAGCTGATGACAGTGCTTTGAGTGATTAAGAATTTGAGTTCCCTCTTATTAGGTTTAAGCTTTCAATTGATACACTTTACTTTGAGCATCTCCTCAAAAAAAAAAAAAAAACAGGACTCAGGTTCAAGAAATATGAAATATGAAAAGAAAAATAGGAACGTACTTTCCCGAAAGAACATCTTGCCGCAGCTGTAATACAAACAGGTACCTAGCAAATACATAAGAAAAAGAAAAAAGATCAATCATGTTTCCCAAGAGTTCCCCACCCTGTGAAACAATAAAACCCTTTTGGATCACAACTTTTTAAAAAGGTCCTAGCAACAGTTCTCATACCCACACCAAAAGCACTTCAAATAAAACCAAATGTATTATTTCAGAGTAGTGTCTGAACTGCCTGCATTCCATGACTTCTGGAAGATTTGTATGTTCCATACAAGAACCATAACCAGAACTTATTCCACTCATGGATGTTTCTTACTGACCTTGTTAGGTATGAATTAGTTATATAAACTTTTAGGCCAAAAGAAAGCACCCCTTTCCTATTACTCCAGTAGATGTTGAGGAGATTCAGCAGCCTCCAGTATCCCCAAAGCTGTGAAGTCCAGCTATGGAACCCCAGTTCACCATAATAGCACACAATTTATTTTATCGTTTGACTAGTGAAATGCCAGCCACTGTGACAGGTTATCTGCATGCAGAGAAAGTGACTCTGTACTGTATTTCAAGGGCCCAGGCTTTACCCCCACCTTTCAGGTGTGTCCCAGATAGCTGTCCATTTACTTTACTCCACAGAATTCAACAGCAGTCATTGGTGACAGAGCCCACTCTTATTGGCAAAGCTCAAGGATGGAGTACCTGTGGCTGTTAAGATATCATGGGTCTCCAACTCCCACCAGTCCCAGCCAGCATCGTCAATGGTTAAGGATGGTAGAAGTTGGAGTCTAACAACATCTGGAGGTTCCTCACCTCTCACTCCTCTGCTTTTTTTGGTCGTGCTACAGTGTGACAGAACATTAGGAACTTGCATATACCTAAAGCTAAATGTTCATCAAATTTGACAAGTTTAGGAACATAGCATTGCAGCTCTTTCCTCATTCCCACTCTGCCCTACTCATCCAACAATGAAGTTACTGGCTTGGTCAAAGGAAGAGTAAGGAAAGGCCTGCTATGCCAAATCTGGCCCTCCCATCCCTTCCAGAAACCGAACATAGCCAGGCTCTGAGGAAGAAGCAAGAAATATTTACCCACCCTCCTGAAAAAGAAGGTACATATCAGGCGAAGGTGGAGAAAGATGAGGTTCTGTCCACCCACCTGCTGCATTGCCTGCTCACTTGCTGGGTCTCTGGGTGAGTGAATAGGGAGAGTTGGGTTTCTGTTTGGGCCACTTAGACTCTAGCTAGCTAGGCCTCAGAGAAGAATGAACAACCAAGCCATGCCAGCTGCTGCTACCCTTTCACAGGAGATGAGCCAGGGGCTTCACATTCCAGGTGAATCAAGAGGACAACTCTCAAACCCTGACAGCTTTTGCAGGAGTAGGGGATGCTGGGTAAGGCAAGAGGTATCCAAGTTTCCTTATAAGGAACCAGAACCTAGGAGACATCTCAGTGTACGATAATGGAACTAGTGAGGAAAAAGTCAAGGCACAAGGAAACTAGGTAGGGAGAATGCTACTGTATCACCTTTTCCAACATGACCTGACCTGAAAATGCCACTCCTAGATGCTTCTCTCATGGTTTGGACTCCAGACCAGGGTGGGGTGGATTACCTGTCTTTGGAGAAGACAGACAGAAAACCCATCAGTCAGGTTATTTTTCTCTCTCGGGCAGATGAGAGCGAGTGTGTGATATGTACTAAAGCACCATCTGTTTCAAGAGGGAAACAAGACCCTTCCTATCTGACAAGTGTGATCCTTGCTCCCTGTCATGAGGCAACAGCACCATCCCATCCAAACCAACCTCTGGCAAAATTAAGCCTCCAGTTTTCGAATTACAGAATGTAGGAAGGACAAGACATCATCTTACATGTGTTTTCCAGAGACTATGTAGGAAAGAATAAGTCAAAATCTTATAAGAAACTGGATACCAGCTGCTTTATAAGACTCTCTTGATACAGACAGTGACCCAGCATCCTTTAGCCATGTGAAAGATAAGGAGATCTGAGAGCTGCCCTCCTTAGCTGTTGGCAGTGGCTAGTTATTCCCAGTGTCTACGTTTAATGAACATGGAGTCTAGTGTCACAGATAAACCAGGGAGAAAGAAGGTACTAGAATGAAGCTTAACCACAGTTAAGACCAAATCAGTCCTTGATATTCTGAAGATACAGTCACTTAAGCACAGAATTTTTTAACCGTTGCTAAATTCTGTCAATTTTCTGTGAACATGGTCCCTACAGACACCAAACTCAATAAGAAAGCAAAAGATCCCGTACTTGGTGGCAGCCCGCTTAACACACATTTAGGCAAAAGATGCACATAATGCTATTAAAAAGAACATTGTTAATAACAGGGTGGATTTGATTTAAATCACAATTTAAATAATGATTTAAATCACTAGTCAGTAAGACTTTATTTAAATCAATTGTTCCCCCCAGAAAGATTCATTCTTGTTGGTATAATCTTAATATTTACAACCAGATGAAGGTTTCATTTTTGGAATAATAAATTTTCTAAGTAGTTTTTGCAGTTATATCAAAAATTACTGATTTGGTTATACTATTAGATATACATAATTATGAAATTATTGTGAGGTTTCGTAAGTTAACTGTTTATATTTGGACAACTTTTCTCCTGCACTTTATTGGAAAGAGAAAAAAATAATCATTTCCTTAATAACTATTTAAACAATTTATTTAACTAAAGCAATAATATTACAGCATATATATCCATGTTTTTTAACTGATGTGGTGAGAGACTTTATTGTTTGGACAATGTCAGGCGAGCCCTGGGAAGAAGGGCCTGGAAGCAGTGAACTCTTCTTAGTTGACCTGCAAGCACTTCAAGGACTTACAGATCCCCGTTCCTATTTCTACCACCACAAACCCTTTGGATTTGGCTTCTGCATTCAGGTGCCTATTCTGTACAGTTGGGTGTGAGTGCAGTGGGTTTGGGAAGAGGCTGCCAGCCCTGAAGAGCCTTCAGCACTTGCCTCAAGTCTGAGGTGCACAGATATGCAACTGACTTGCACAATTATTACACAAAGATCCCAAGACTTGTGGAATATTCTGCTCACAAGCTTGCACATTCATTTTCACTGCTTCACACTTAGCTACTTGGGCAGATCAATTCCACTCCAAACAATCTATTCACTGAACCTCTTAGCCTTTCAGAGGCAAGGGCTTGGTTCTGTGTATATAAATTTGCAAAGGAACAAGGGGATTAAGGTTTTCTCCTCAACTCTGTATGTTTATTTTATAACATTTTTCCTGTGAAGAAAAGGCATGTTATCTTTGCAGACACAAATTCACACTTTTGAGAGCTGCAAAAACAAGCATCTGTGATAATATCTTCTTGTTAGAAAAACTGCCCCAAATAATCTTACAGAAGCCTCTGGAAGAGCATGACATTGTGAATGGATTAATGGAATTCATTTACCAAAAAAGCATTTTATTTTTAAAAAACCCGATTTAAATTTTAAAAATCATTTTTTTATCTTTTTTTAAAAAAAACAACAACAAACCATTAATTTTTATCCACCCTGGTTAATAAACCAAGCCCAAATTTACCCTCAACTCTACCCTCCTTTCCAGATGTTTGGGTTGCAACTCAAAATCACGTCCTACCTTGTGAATTCCTCATGGAGGTTGTTTGGCTCCGATGAATAGTATTTGATTCGAAAGTGCAACGTATATGGTGGCCCAACTAGATGAAGAAAGGTTTTTAAATGTTAAAAGCCAGAAGCCGTGTAGTAACTCATACAATACTTCTATTACAACGAAGGAAGGTATTTTGTGAAAGTGCTGAAGCCTTTGGCGTGAGCAGGGCTGATGTCACAAAGGCCGAGCAGTGATGCTGCCACAGACAGACTAGGCAGGAGAGGGGAGTCCAGGCAGCACTGCTGAAGGAGAAGAGCAGAGAAACAGGAGAGCTGAACTAGATGTAATGGTGGCAGCTGTGTTTGTTTCATCACAGATTTGCTGGGGGAGCCAAAAATCTGCCTTAGTAGCATTGGGAAGCAGCCCCTCTGATTCAGATCCACTCTGCCATTCCATTCACTAGTCATCCCAATCGGATCCATTAAATCTGAAGCTCCCTCTCTCCCTTCCTTGACTATAAATTGAAAAATTGCCTTTTCAAACGGAGTCCAAATTTAGTCCAAATTTCAGGCCGATCCATTCAGTGGGGGTTTCTGCAGGAAACCTTTTATTTTAAAAAGTGGATTAAAATTGGAGGTATGATGAAATTTCAGACAGCAGTACAGCACTTCTGCAAAAGTCTGTACAGGAAGTAAGTTGGGTTGCTACTATTACATCTTGTTTTATCTTGAGAAAAGGATAGGTGGCGTGGAGGAGGCGACAGCTCGAAGCAGAAAGGCCGAGGGGTGCTTAAGGAAAGGGCAACACTGAAGGCAGAATGGGCAGAGATAGCAGGAAACGAACAATGGTGGAGAGACTGGGCCATGGGTGTAAGAGCTAAAGGAGAAGAAATATAGATCATGAACATCACTGGTTGAAAGATGCTTCAACTGGGAGACTTAGGCAGGTACTCTATCATAAATGCTTTTACGGAAAATTTATGTGTGGTAATGTGCTCTAAAAAGCAGTGTATTTTTTTTATTTAAGGGGCTCATCTAAGTGCATTGCATATAAATTACTCTTCCGGTGTATATTCACTCCACATCCACATTCAACTAACTATCAACAGAGCACAGAAACACAGGAAATATCAAATACTCAGTAAATACAGAGTAAGAAGAGTAGAGGTGGACTAAAGGATGACTGCACTTCACTACAGAACTACCAGCCAATTGCTAGTCCAGGGATTAGCTTGATTCAGCCAGGCACTTCTTATGATTTAAATTGAGAGTGCACACTCAGGATCTAAGTGCTCAGATCAGCGAAGCCAATCAGAAGTTTGCATTCTTGCTTATCAGAAAGCAGTCTGGAAGCCCTTATCAAACTCAATTAAGAGCTCCTGGTGGACGGTGATCAAGTTCATACCTGCTTAGTTTCATCAGCTCTGCATTGTGGTCCCAGATGGGGAACTACCAAACAGCATATAATTATCTTATCAAGAGAAAACTACTGAAAGAGGCAGTATCAGGAGGGGGGGAAGTGCTTAGGGATCTCACACAAACACCTTTCAACCAGTGAGCAACATGGCAAATAGTGGGCAACGTGAATCTGTAAATTGAAAAATATGAAATATTTAGCAATGACTCAAGATTTAGGTTCACCATACTTACTTTTGATTTGCTTCTTAATGGGTTTTGAATGGTCTAGCCAGTGCTAGGAAAAGAAAATTGTTGTTTTTTTTAAAAGGAAGGACTCTGCTCGTTTTTAATAGTTCAGAAAGAAACATACAAAGAAGACCATGTTCAATAAGCATTTGCACCATTTCCGTGTGCTGCTTCCACACCAAGCATTTGTGTGGAATAACTGCACTTTTTAAATGTGGCATGTACAATACCATCCTTCATATCCCCTGGATTTCTGACTTTTTACACCACAGAAAAATCTAATGTTTTTTGAAAGTCCAGGAAAAACAGCACCATCTCCACAGTCCTTAGCAGAGCTTGTCTGTTTTTCTTGAGAGATGTGACTTTGGCTTGAGTAATGTCTGGAGCTGAACCTTATATGCCACAACTGTTAAGAGATGGAGGAGGCTCAATTTCCTCTTTTAAAAAGAAAAATAACCTTACGACACATGTGGATATGATAAGTGAGAGGTACTGAATTGCTTGGGTGGGGAAAGGATTTACAGGTTTCTCAGTACAACTACTGATTACCCCCACGTCCCACTTTAAACCAGGGTGGGGAAAGCTATGGCCCTCTCCATGCTGTTGGACTGGAACTTCCACAAACCCTGGCCATTGGCTACCTTGGCTGGGACTTATGTGAGCTGCAGCCCAGCTACACTCTGGGGGGCCACAGACTCCCCATCCCAGCTTAGAGCTGGAAGTGGGGGTGTTCAGAAGTTGTATTGAGAAACATGTAAAGCCTTCCCCTCAAAAACAGGAGAACTGAAAGGGAAATCTACCTTGGAAAAACTTCAAAAATAGGGAGACCGTTCACTGTTTGCATACTTGGCTGCAGTCCAGAGCTGCTTTGGTGCTGAGTGCCTGCCCCAACTTCCCATCCCTATACTAGCCCAATCCCCTGTGCCTCCCCAACCTCTGGAACAAGCAGAGTGAGGTTGCCTGATGGATAAAAGCTCCATCCCAAGATGAAGAGCCCAAATGTTTTTGGTTGGTTTTGTGTGTTTTTTAATCCCCATTCTCATTGTGCAATGAGCTCCTCTTCAAATCTTAACAGATAATCTCAACAAAAAAGGGAAAATAAATATAAATACTGTAAATAATAAAAAATGAAATATAGGTGTGTTTGCATTTATTTATTTTAAAAACTGAACACACAGAACACAGCACTAAAACAGGGAAACAATGAATTGAAGCAGCCACTTCAAATGTGTGTGGGGGGGGGGGGAATGCAATGCCCACTTTTAACACACACGGCTCCTTTAGAGGTGGAGGCGCTTTACAAGATCTCCTTTAAGATGATGCATACAATTCACCCAGGGGCTGAGGAGCACAACTATTTGCTGTTATTCATTCAAAGAACACTGTCACTTCAGTTACCAAAAAATAAGCCATGGATAATTCAGGCAACTTCTGGCTTTAGCAAATCTCTATTGTGCCATCTCTGCCAGATGATACAAATTGAATCCCAAGTGTTTTGGCTTCTTCCTCTGTAGAGTTGAAGCCTGGTAATTAAAAATGTTATTGCATCCCAAGTAAATGACTTCTCTATTCAGAAAGAAGCTAGTATGGTATTTTGGAAGTGACAGTTTCAGATATTCTCAGATTACCCTCTAAGCACCAATTCTTCTAAACTGCCAGGACAATTTCCATTTGATACCAAGGGCAATTCAGTCTGCTAAAGAAACAGAGCTATTCTGTACTCAAAGCTAGTTTGTATGTGGGTGCAATTTCTCAGCCTTGAAGCCACAAAGACCCCAAAAGAGACAGGCCAGGGAAGCTTTAGGGTCTGCCAAAGCCATTACACTGCAAGAAGGATTTCAGTTCACCCCTCCTATTTTGCCACGCCTTTCCTTGACACAAAAGTTGTTCAACGTGCAGGACGTTTATGACACAAACAAGTGTTCCAAGTGTTCCTACTCGGAAATGGTTCTGTGATGAAGAGAGCTGTACTTGGTTTATCTACTGAAGATGTAGATTTGCCCCAAGTCACATATGACTTCCTGGCAGACTTTGAAAGTGACAGATTCAAGCAGATTTTGAAGTGCCTCCAGTTGTGAGTGAAAAACCATCCCACATAACATAGCTCAGATTAGCCCTCAACCTCATTTCTATACCTTTTCCTTTGTAACATGTCTACCAAAAATCTCAGATGAAAGGGGAGAACACATTGGTGGAAAGATCCCTGGAAACCACCACACCAAACCAATCCCTATACAGTTAATAAGAAGGCTTCTTTGCAGGGAGCAAAAAGGGAGAAAGAGAGTGAGCCTCAGAGCACAGATCAGTCTTGCATATCTGCAGGAAAACAAGCAAGCTCTGCTCAGGTGGAAGGAGGCGCTAGCGGTATTCATCACTTCCCCCACTAGGTGGAGGGTCCTGGAGAGCAAATCTGCAATGACACACTTTCTTTCTCCTTTGAATCCCTGCTCTTGGGCTTCATTCTTGTACTACTTATTTGGCTTCTTACATCCCACTGGAGGCAATATGCAAAACACAGCCAATAAAGAATATATTTCTATAGCATCCCACACCATCTCTCAGTAGAATGCAGCCAGGATGTAAAAATGCTTCTCATACCTCTAAATGAAAGATGTATCTTACATAGCTGTCAACTTACAGATTTGAAAATAAGGGACCAGCAGCCAAAATAAGGGACCAGCAGCCAAAATAAGGGACCTGCAGCCTCACCTGTTCCAGGCACTCCAGTCTTCCTGTCCTCCTGCAGTCTGGTCAAACTCATGCTGGTAGCTTCGAGAACACCGTCCAACCAACTTTGTAACCAGAGGTTCAAATGAATAGAATCTGAATCACATGCACCACAAGGCCTATGCAGCCTCAACTTAAGATGGCTGGCTCCCCGGCCTGGCTTTGCACTGCAAAGTTTGCAGCAGCACGTGCAACAAAATGGCGTCCAGCATTCAAAAAAACTTTCAGCTTGCATTAACTAGCCACACACAAGGCATGCAAGCTCCACCCCCCAGTCGTTCTTAGACTTCCTATTGGGTGAGCAACACAGCCAAGCAACACAGTTGGAGCCTCCCTCCTCCCTGGCCGGCTGGCAGGGAGGGAGGGAGAGGAGCTGCTTCCTTTGAAATTTAAGGGACATCATTTAAGGGACATTTAAGGGACATCCATCAATAAGGGACAGCAGCAGGACATGGCGTTGGAATAAGGGACTGTCCCTTCAAATAAGGGACACTTAACAGCTATGGTGTCTTATTGGCATAAGAGCCAGATCCAAGGACACACTAGCTTCCACAGAGCAATTCTGAAACTTGTGCCAGTTTTCTGACCTAGTCGAGAAACAATGGTCCACCTGGCACACAACATTATATAAACAAGGTCTTCCTTATCAAAGCTTTTAGTATATGCTTCTAGACACCATCATTACCATAAAATAAAGCTCATTTACATACCAAAATCTGGGATGTATCCATGAACTGAAGGCCAAAGTAATCCGTTTCCACAAGATCCAAATGGTACACAATCTGGTCAAATAAATCCTGCCCTTTTGCGTGTTTCTACAAGAAAGGATTACATAAAAAGGAGGAAATATAGTTACATGCATGTTTCATACAAACAATATTCATTTACTGACATCTGACAACTTCAACACAATATTGCGCTTTCAGCTAACAGAAAGGTAGTAAAGAAAAAGTACAACAGCATAACAAACTCAAGCTAATACAGAAAATTAAAGCAACTGGAGCAACAACTGCCTGTTCAAATAGACAGTAAAAGCAAACTGCTCTGAGCTAAAGATGCTTACAGTAGCAGTTCTTAAATGCCAGGGGGCGGGGGGGGGGGCTTTGCCTAAATGGAGGCAACAAGGTCTGGACTTCCTTGAAGTAGGTATTCCAAAGGCAAGGAGCCACCAAAGGAAAAGGCATCCTCTCTGGTCGCTCCTCACTATATTTCAGAAGGCAAGGGCACCCTGCAAAAAGTGCCAGACGATACTTTCAGGAAGTGGGCAGATCAAAAGAGCAGAAGGCAGTCCAAGAAATATTTGGGTCCTAAGCCATGAACGTTAAGACCAACAAGCAAGATTTCTTTGTCCAGTCCGTTTGTGACCTAGCCTGAGTGTTCTGGACTAACTGCAATTTCTGGACTCTCTTCAAAGGCAGCCCCACATAAAGTGCATTGCAGTAATCCAGTCTCAAGGTTACTGGCCCTCCTGATAGGGGTGGAAAATCACAGAAAAATGGTGCCTCCAGTCCCCAGCCCAAGAACTTATCCTGAAGCATACCAGGTATAAAAGCTACTGAGGGATCCAGTATAATCAACAATCTGTCTTCCTCCTGGTATAGATGATCCACCAGAGCAATTGAAATGGTTTCAATACACATCTCCATCACAAGTTAAGGCTCTGCCACTTACTTGAATGAAACCACTTTCCGATCTGTCCCTGAACCATGTTTTTTAAACATTCAAAATAAATGTTACAGTGCATTAGATCCTCTTACTGAATTGGGATTTCTCCCCAGAAAGCAGTTAGTGAACAGGTCAAAACTCTCACGGGTCTTTTGCTGCATTACTTGCCACCTGCAAACCCCTGCAAAGGCTTTCATGCTTAACTTACTGGTGTGAAAAATATCCAAGTCTTCTCCAGGAAGGGATGTTAGAAAACCAGCATATCAAGAGAATGTTTTGTTGACATGTGGTTTCCTGAATCGAGGGATTTAAATTTTATTTATTTTAAATATGAAGTAATATTCAAACACGTGAACCATCTAATTGCGTTCTAAAGCAATACAGTCCACATAAAGATTCTCTCTCTCTCTCTCTCTCTCTCTCTCTCTCTCTTTTTCTCTCTCTCTCTCTTGCACACTCACACATACACTCATACAAAAGCCATGGCATCTGAACAGGGTGGCACAAATGGCAATTATGAAAAAGAATACGAAGCACACATTTTTAAGGTTAACAAAAGGACCAATTAAGTCAGCTAAAACACCATGTTTCAAGCTAGTCCCTATAAACAGGTCAGCTATCAAAGAACACCAAGTTCAAAGAAAAAATATTCACCAGCACATTCCCAGGAACAAAGGGAAAGGTTCTCAATTTTCAATAAAATTCTAAATATATATAATTAGTAAAAGGTAAAGGGACCCCTGACCATTAGGTCCAGTCGTGGCCGACTCTGGGGTTGCGGCGCTCATCTCGCTTTACTTACAGTTTCCGGGTCATGTGGCGAGCATGACTAAGCCGCTTCTGGCGATCCAGAGCAGTGCACGGAAACACCGTTTACCTTCCTGCCAGAAAATCTACCGTATTTTTCGCTCTATAGGACGCACCCAACCATAGGGCGCAGAGTGGAATGGCAGAGTGGATCTGAATCAGAGGGGCTGCTTCCAAAAACTACTAAGGCAGATTTTTGGCTCCCCCAGCAAATCTGTGATGAAACAAACACAGCTGCCACCATTACATCTGGTTAAGCTCTCTGACTCCTGTTTCTCTATCCATGGCCACCTCTGCTCTTCTCCTTCAGCAGTGCTGCCTGGACTCCCCTCTCCTGCCTAGTCTGTCTGTGGCAGCATCACTGCTCGGCCTTTGTGACATCAGCCCTGCTCACGCCAAAGGCTTCAGCACTTTCACAAAATACCTTCCTTCGTTGTAATAGAAGTATTGTATGAGTTACTGCACGGCTTCTGGCTTTTAACATTTAAAAACATTTCTTCATCTAGTTGGGCCACCATATACGTTGCACTTTCGAATCAAATACTATTTATTGGAGCCAAACAACCTCCATGAGGAATTCACAAGGTAGGACGTGATTTTGAGTTGCAACCCAAACACCTGGAAAGGACGGTAGAGTTGGTGATAAATTGAAGATAAATTTGGGGTTGGTTTATTAACCAGGGTGGATAAAAATTAATGATAGGACCCTCATACATACAGGACCGCCTCTCCTGGTATGCCCCACGGAGGACCTTAAGGTCCATAAATAACAACACTTTGGAGGTCCCAGGTCACAAGGTGGTTAGATTGGTCTCAACCAGGGCCAGGGCTTTTTCGGCCATGGCCCCGACTTGGTGGAACGCTCTGTCCCAAGAGACTAGGGCCCTGCGGGACTTGACATCTTTCCGCAGGGCCTGCAAGATGGAGCTGTTCTGCCTGGCCCTTATGTTTCCCTCCCCTTATGGTTAATTTATGGGCTACTATTAAAATGAGGCTGCATTTTAAATTGTATTTTAACCTGTATTTTAATAAACTGTTTTGTTTGTTTGTTTGTTTGTTTCCCCCCCATTATGTTTTATTGTAATTTTATTGGTGTTAGCTGCCCTGAGGAGGGCGGGGTATAAATAAACATGTATATTATTATTATTATTATTATTATTATTATTATTATTATCATCATCATCATCAACATCATCTAATTTTTTTAAAATTTAAATCAGATTTTTTTAAAATAAAATGCTTTTGGAGGAAAAATCATTCTAAAGATAGTTTTCTATCTTTTCTATCTATTACGGTAGTTTTCTATTTACTGTAAATTCCGGCGTATAAGGCGGCTTTTTAACCCCGAAAAAGAGGTTAAAAACTCAGGGGTCACCTTATATGCCTGCTATCCGCCCCCGCTGCTCCAAAGCAGTCGCAGTGGCGGTGGGCTGCGCTCCATGCCGGGCAGCCTTCTCCCGGCCCAGCGTATTAGGCAACTGGGCTTATGAGACGAAACCCCAAATTGCAGCTGCCAATTTGGGGGGGTCTAATACGCCAGAATCTACAGTAAGTTACATTATAGTCCAAAGGCTATTCATCAGGAAATAAGGATTTGTTTTTAATTATGTAGCATGAGGTTTAATATGCAGTGGTTTTTTTCTTAAATTAATTCTATTAATCCATTCACAATGTCATGCTCTTCCAGAGGTTTCCGTAAGATTACGGTATTTGGGGCAGTTTTTTTAATGAGAAGATATTATCACAATGATTTTTTTTTATTTATTTTTTTGCAGTTCTCAAAAGTGTGAATTTGTGTCTGCAAAGATAACATGCCTTTTCTTCACAGGAAAAATGTTATAAAATAAACATACAGAGTTGAGGAGAAAACCTTAATCCCCTTGTTCCTTTGCAAATTTATATACACAGAACCAAGCCCTTACCTCTAAAAGGCTAAGAGGTTCAGTGAATAATAGATTGTTTGGAGTGGAATTGATCTGCCCAAGTAGCTAAGGGTGAAGCAGTGAAAATGAAAGTGCAAGCTTGTGAGCAGAATATTCCACAAGTCTTGGGATCTTTGTGTAATAATTGTGCAAGTCAGTTGCATATCTGTGCACCTCAGACTTGAGGCAAGTGCTGAAGGCTCTTCAGGGCTGGCAGCCTCTTCCCAGTCCCACTGGGTTCCAGCAACTGCACTCACACCCAACTGTACAGAATAGGCACCTGAATGCAGAAGCCAAATCCAAAGGGTTTGTGGTGGTAGAAATAGGAATGGGGATCTGTAAGTCCTTGGCGAGACCTTGAAGTGCTTGCAGGTCAACTAAGAAGAGTTCACTGCTTCCAGGCCCTTCTTCCCAGGACTCCCCTGACATTGTCCAAACAATAAAGTCTCTACCGGGAACTTCAGTCCTGCGGCAGGAATCCCTGTCATTCTCGGCTCCAGTCCTTGGTTCCCCTTTCCCAGCTTTCCACCAGCCTGTTTCTCCTCAGCCTCCTCTTTCTGCAAGCCTCTTTCAACCTAGGTCTACCAACTTTATCTTTCCTCCACCACCCCTACTAAAAGTACATCAGAAAAGTTGTCCAAATATAAACAGTTAACTTATGAAACCTCACAATAATTTCATAATTGTTTGTCTATGTATTTCTTTTTTTTCTCCCCCCCCCCAAATATTTATTGAATTCTATAACAATTAATGATACCAATCTCATTCATCATGTTATTTACAATTATTCTCCCTCCCCTCCTCTGGACTACCCTCAAGCCCCCCTCCCCCTCTGCTGAGTTATTTAGTTTTATTTATTGTATCCTGGTTTTCCTACACAAAAATAAAATCCCTTATCATTTCTCTAAAATATCTGTTACTCAAATGAAGTTGTGAAAGTTTATTCAAATCCTGCCAGTGAATCTACTCCATTCTGTTGTTTCTGCAAATAAACAGTAAATGGTTCCCAGACTCTTTTGAAGTCCTTTTTGTCCTCTTGTAGTTTGTCTGTTAGCTTAGCCAATTCTGCATAGTTCATCAGCTTTTCTTGCCGTTGTTCCTTTGATGGTATTTCTTCCGTCTTCTAATATTGTGCAATCAAGATTCTTGCTGCTGTTGTAGCATACATAAATAATGTCCATTTTTCTTTTGATAGCTCTTGATTTGAGATACCTAACAAAAAGGCTTCAGGGTGTTTGACAAAATTCATTTTAAACGTTTTTTTCCAAATTCATTGTATATCATTTCCCAATATTTTAAATCTATTTGCATAATAATAATAATTTATTATTTATACCCCGCCCATCTGACTGAGTTTCCCCAGCCACTCTGGGCGGCATTCCCACCACATATGATAAAGTGTTCCTTCCTTTTCCTTACAT